GTATTTGTCTTTCTCTGTCAGACTTGTTTCACGCAGCATAATGCCCTCAAGGGCCCTCCTTTCTTGTGGCTGAATCATATTCCATGGTGTCTCTAGACCGCATTTATTTGCTGCATCATCCAAAGACAGACACTTAGGCTGCTTCCACATCTTGGCTTTCGTAAATAATGCTGCAGCGAACATGGGAGCGCACATATCTCTTTGAGATCCTGATTTTATTTCCTTTGGATATGTACCCAGAAGTGGAATTCCTGGATAATATGGTAGTTCTGTTTTTTATCTGTAAGATCCTCCGTGCTGTTTTCCAGAGTGGCTGCACCAGGTTGCATTCCCACCGACAGTGGAGGAGGGTTCCCGTTGCTCCGCATCCCGCCATTATCTCATATTTTCACTGATTATCTCGTGTCTTTTTGATAACAGCCACTGACAGGTGTGAGGTGACATCTCATTGTGGTTTTGATTTGTATTTCCTCGATGATGAGTGATGCTGAGCATCTTTTCCTGTGTCTGGTTGGCCATCTGGGTGTCTTCTTTGGGAAAATGTCTGTTCAGTTCCTCTGCGCATTTTTTAATCAGATTGTTTCTTTGCTCTTGAGTTGTAGGAGTTCCTTATATATTTTGGATATTAACTCCCTTTGAGACAGATGGTTTACAAATATTTTCTCCCGTTCTATAAGTTGCCTTTTCATTGTGTTGACTGTCTCCTCTGCTGTGCAGAGTTTGGCAGTTGATGTCATTCCCACTTACTTGTTTTTTCCTTTGTTGCTTGTGCTTTTGGTGTCACATCCAAAATATCACTGCTAATGTCTTAGAGCTTTTTCCTATGTTTTCTTCTAGGAGAGTTATGGTTTGGGGTCTTATGTTAAGTCTTTTGTCCATTTTGAGTTAATTTTTGTAAGTGGTGTAAGATAGTCCAATTTCATTCTTTTCCAGGTTTCCCAACACCATTTATTGAAGAGACTGTCCTTTCCTCATTGAGTATTACTGGCTCCTTTGTCAAATATCGGTTGATTGTATAGACATTAGTTTATTTCTGGGCTCTCAATTCTGTTCCGTTGGTCTATGTGTCTGTTTTTATTCTAGTACCATCTCTTCACATTATTATAGCTTTGAAATAGTTTGAAATCAGGATGTGTGGTGCCTCCTGCTTTGTTCTTCTTTCTCAGGATTGCTTTGGCTATTTAGGGGTCTTTTGTGGTTCCATATGAATTTTAGGATTGTTCTCTCTATTCCTGTGAAAAATGCCACAGGAATTTTGATAGGGATTGCATTCAATCTAGAGGTGACTTTGGGTGGTATGGACATTGTAACAACACTAATTCTTTTTTTTTAATAATTTTTTATTGTTATGTTAATCACCATACATTACATCATTAGCTTTTGATGTAGTGTTCCATGATTCATTGTTTGTGCATAACACCCAGTGCTCCACGCAGAACGTGCCCTCTTTAATACCATCACCAGGATAACCCATCCCCCCACCCCCCTCCCCTCTAGAACCCTCAGTTTGTTTTTCAGAGTCCATCGTCTCTCATGGTTCGTCTCCCCCTCTGACTTACTCCCCTTCATTCTTCCCCTCCTGCTATCTTCTTCTTTTTCTTTTTTCTTAACATATGTTGCATGATTTGTTTCAGAAGTACAGATCTGTGATTCAACAGTCTTGCACAATTCACAGCGCTCACCATAGCACATACCCTCCCCAATGTCTGTCACCCAGCCACCCCATCCCTCCCACCCCCACCACTCCAGCAACCCTCAGTTTGTTTCCTGAGATTAAGAATTCCTCATATCAGTGAGGTCATAGGATACATGTCTTTCTCTGATTGACTTATTTCACTCAGCATAACACCCTCCAGTTCCATCCACGTCGTTGCAAATGGCAAGATCTCATTCCTTTTGATGGCTGCATAATATTCCATTGTGTATATATACCACTGCTTCTTTATCCATTCATCTGTCGATGGACATCTTGGCTCTTTCCACAGTTTGGCTATTGTGGACATTGCTGCTATAAACATCAGGGTGCACGTACCCCTTCGGGTCCCTACATTTGTATCTTTGGGGTAAATACCCAGTAGTGCAATTGCTGGATCGTATGGTAGCTCTATTTTCAACTGTTTGAGGAACCTCCATACTGTTTTCCAGAGTGGCTGCACCAGCTTGCATTCCCACCAACAGTGTAGGAGGGCTCCCCTTTCTCCGCATCCCCGCCAACATCTGTCGTTTCCTGACTTGTTAATTTTAGCCATTCTGACAGGTGTGAGGTGGTATCCCATTGAGGTTTCGATTTGGATTTCCCTGATGCCGAGCGATGTTGAGCACTTTTTCATGTGTCTGTTGGCCATTTGGATGTCTTCTTTGGAAAAATGTCTACAACACTAATTCTTCCAGTCCATGAGCACGGGATATCTTCCCATGTATTTGTGTCTTCCTTAATTTCTTTCACCAGAGTCTTAAACTTTTCAATGTACAAAACTTCACTTCCTTGGTTACATTTATTCCTAATTATATTTTTTGTTTTTGATACTATTGTAAATGGGATTGTTTTCTTTACTTATTTTTCCTATATTTCATTGTTAGGGTACAGAAAGATAGCTGACTTCTTCATATTGCCCTTATGTCCTGCAACTTTACTGAATTTATTGATTGGTTCTAACAGAGTTTTGGTAGAGTCATTAGGATTTTCTATATGTAAGACCATATTTTCTGCAGATAGAGACAATTTTACTTCTTCCCTTCTGATGTGGATGTATTTTATTTCTTTTTCTTGCTTGATTGCTCTGGCTGGGACTTTCAGTGCTGTGTTGGATAGGAGAGGGGACAGTGGGCACCCCTGTCTCATTCTGATCTTAGAGGAAAAGTTCTCACCTGGTCACCATTGAGTGTTATGTTGGCTGGAGGCTTGTCATATGTGGCCTTTGTTATGTTGAGATGTATTCCTTCTATACCCAATCTCTTGAGAGTTTTTATCATGAAAGATGTTGAATTTTGTCCAGTGCTTTTTCTGCATCTCTTGAGATGATTATATGATTTTTGTCCTTCATTCTACTAATGTAGTCATCACGTTGACTGATTTGCTGTTGTTGGATCACCCTTGCATCCCAGGGATAAATCCCACTTGACCATGGTGTATGATCCTTTTGATGTGATGTTAAATTCAGTTTGCTAATGTTTTATTGAGAACTTTTACATCTGTGATCATCAGGGATATTGCTCTATAGTTTTCTTTTGGTTCCTTACCTAACTTTGGTATCAGGGTAATGCTAGGCTCACTAAATGAGTTCGCAAATGTTCCCTCCTCTTCAATTTTCTGGAAAGATTTAAGAAGGATTAGTATAAATTCTTTAAATGTTTGGTAGAATTCACTAGAGAAACCATCTGGTCCTCGGCTTTTCTTTGTTGCGAGGTCTTTGATTACTGATTCAGTCTCCTTACTATTCATGGTCTGTTCAGATTTTCTACTTCTTCATGATTCAGTCTTGATAGGTTGTATGTTTCTAGGAATTTACCCATTTTTTTCTAGGTTATCCAATTTGTTGGTGTGCAATTATCCTTATTAGTCTCTTAAGAGCCTGTGTATTTCTGTGGTGTTACTTGTAATGTCTCCTCTTTCACGTCTGAGTCTATTAATTTGAGTCCTTTTTTCATGGCTAGTCCAGCAGTAGGGTCCACAGCCAGGACAGAAGTCTGTCTGCCTGTTACCTGACACACAGGTGGGCGAGACTCCCACCAGGTCCCTTGACATGAGGCACTGGCTCCCACAGCCCCCACGGAGGTGCTCTTGGCTGTGGGTGGAGGTTGAATTGCTGTTGAGGGTCAGGTTCCGGGGACATCCTGTTGGCCCATCTTGGTGACTTCCTAAGTATTTTATTTTGTAAGAAGTTGATCCTTCCCAAATTCTGCAGTGTCAATGCAATTACAATAAAATTGCAACCATTTTTGGTTTGTTTTGTGAATGGGAATGAGAGAACTTATATTTGTTTTTTAAAACCTGATAAATGTGAAAATGATCCAACTTTTTGAGGGAAAAAAAGGGACAACTTGTCCTTGGGATATGAAAATACACTCTGACGCTACTATAATTAAAATAGCACAGTCTGGACAGGACAGACACATGGGCCAGCATTAGAGGAGGCGAGGCCAGCTGGAACCCAGGGTCCCAGGGGAGCCAGCAGGATGGGCAGCAGCAGAGAGTGGAACCTTTTCTAAATGCTGCCGGGGGTTGCTCTCCACTACGAGGGAAACAAACCGAGATCCCTACAGATTGCCAGCATGCTGACAAATTTCAAATGGATTAGAGCTGGCTGTGTAAAAATTATAAAAATATTGGAGGAAACAAAAGCAAGCTGTTTTTATCATCTTGGGGTAGGGAAGTTCCTCCTAAAAGGAGCTAAAGAAATCTGATTTCACAAAGTAAACATGAGAATTTTTGAATGTCAAAAGATGCATGAACTACGTCAAAAGCTAAGTGACAAATGGAAAGAACATATGTGTGGCACACAGACCGGCAGTCAGATCCTCAGTATGCCAGGGGTGCACCCCAAACAGGAAAGAGCGTGGTGATGTTGCAAAGCCCATGAATGGGCATAAAGAGGAAAAGTTAGAACCGTGAATAGCAATGAACAGATGCTCAGTCTCATTCATAATTAGAGAAATGCAGATTTAAAAAGAGAAGACTGCCCTTCAGAGACACGGCCGCCATCACAGGTGGGGATCCTAGCATCTGCACACCCTGGGTCAGGGCTGGGGTGAGCCGGAAGCCAGGGGGGAGGGCACTGGTCAGTGCAGAAAGGCCAGTGCAGACCTCCCACCCACAAGCATGGGGCCCCTGCCTTAGTGTAAGCACAGTCACCGTGCTGGGGGAGGCACTGCCTTGGCTGCCCCAGCACAGACTGTCAAGAGCAGGGGTCCCCAAAAACACGTGTTCCTGGCCAGAGGAGCAGAGACCGTGTGGAGAGAAGCCGTGCTCCAGGGCACTGACAGTCTTTTGGGTGCCACAGGCTCACATCTACTCTCTGGGGGCCACGCTAAAGGCAGCCCTTGAGTACGTGACTGAGCCCGAGCCGGAGCCCAGGCTGAGCCAAGACCTGGAGGCGCTGCTGAGCCAGATGCAGGCAGAAGACCCTAGGGACCGGCCTGACCTCGAGGTACAAAGTCACCCCCAAGGCAAAGACCTGAGACCCTCCCCACAGCCCCAGTGCCCTGGGCGCGCGCGCACGCACGCACACACACACACACACACACACACAGGACCCTCCTGCCCAACAGCTCTCCCCTCGGTCCCATGGGCTCTTCTTCACCTGGGATTTGGTGGCATTGCATTTTGCTTAAATAAGAACTTGACCTTTCATTATACATTGTTATGATGAAGAGGTTTGGCTTACAATTCTCATGGACTGAACAGAATCGCCTGGTTTTCTGTAATTGCAGGATACATTGCTTTTTTATGCCAGAAAATAGACATGGAGGGGGGTGGGCTCTCAGAGGGCAGGGCTTCCTCCATGGTGAGCTTTCCCATCTGAGCTGCTCACACGTGTGTCTACAGAGCATCATAGCATTGTGTGAAGAGAAGATGCTCTTCACGTCCTCCTGCCGTCTGTGCCGGAGCCTCTCGGCCATCGGGAGGAGGGTGCTCTCCATTGAGTCCTTTGGAGCATTTCAAGGTAAGCACGTGCACACGTGTGTGCTTGCACACATGCATGCACACACAGATAGTCACACACACATATACACATATATGCACGTACCCACTCACGTGTGCATGTGAATGTACACAAACTTTAGCACAGATCAGACACACACATGTTCACGCCATTGTACTCACCGTGTAAACACCCACACTCACATGCACACGTGTGCAAACAGATCACGTGTGCCCCCACAGGCACGCATGTGTTTATACTAACTTGCTCATAGTCACAGAAGCATACATGAAAATGCAAGGTCATACACACCTACTTGTACACATGCACACTCATCACATGCATGCACACTTGTGCACAAACATAGCACTGTCCTGCACATACAAACCCATTTTGCAGCCATGCACAGACTGACACATTCACCCTCACTCTCAAGTCACCTTGCACACACTTTGCAGACACCTGGGCCACTGGGGGTGTTGGGAAGTGAGAAGTCTTAGACCTCTGGTCTCTGTCCGGGTCTGTGAGCAGGTCGGTGCATGGACATGGGGACACTGCGCAGTTCATTTCTGTTTGCTGACACCACGTGGTGTCTAGCAGGCCTATTCTTTCTCTGCCGGAGAAGCTGTTGCTGAAGCATCTGGGATTTTCCCGGCTCGCATGGGACTCTGGCGTGGTCTCAGGTCACATTTTGAGCAAATGTCAGCATCTGCTCTGCACTGTGCCTGCAGCAAGGAGCCCGGAGGGCCCTCAGGGGCGGCCCGCATGAGCCTCTTATGGCAGCAGGGCCCGCCGGCACACCACCCCGGGGACCACAGGCCTGAGGCTCGGCTCCCGCCATGCAGCAGAGAGCGATCACCGCAGGAGGGGCTGCAGGCCACAAGGAGGGGCCTCCACGGAGACCACAGACACCTGTGTGCGAGATTGTGCGCCAGGACGTGGCGGGAGGGACAGCCAGACTCAGTGTCTTCCTTCGGGGACATCATCTGTGTACTTGTACTAGAAAGCAAAGGCTCTTTGGACAAGCTGCTTGGATGACCTTAGGAAGACTCCGAGGGGGCCCGTGCAGGCTGTGGAGGGGGCCCAGGAGCCTTTGAAGCCTCAGTAGTTAGAATCAGCCGGGTTATGCGATAAAGGAGGCAGATGAAGATGGTTCTGGGCCGACACCGGGGGGAGGAGAAGGGGACCGAGGAGCGCAGGAGAGGTGCCCGCATCCCCTCTGCTGACGGGTGGGGTTGCTAGGGATGCCCACCCCGGGCTCAGTTCCCTGGCCACTGCCCCTGCAGCAATCACCTTGCTTTTGCCCAGATGTCACCGAGAGCGGCTGGAGCGGGAGACCTACTGCAGGAAGCGCAGGGCCCAGGAAACAGCCGGGGGGCCACGCCGCAGACCCAGAGGGCCTGCCGCAGCACCCTGCCCATGAAGCCCGTGGCAGCCCGGAGCAGCCTGCTACCCTGTCCTCCAAGCCCCTACTGTCAGCCCCTGTGAGAAATGGAGAGCGGCTGGCCAGCCTCATCCTGGACACCCAGCGCCCCCTGGGTGAGCTGGAGAGGAGCCGCCTGAGGAAGGTGCAGACGTTCCCCAGGCTCCTGCCCGACGGCACTGAGGCCGGCACCCTCTGCCTGACGCTGACCCCCACCAAAAACCAGCCACCCAGATCTGAAGTCTTCCCTCCAGACCCCAGGAAGGCCTTTCTAGATGGGAAAAATGGCCTTTCCAGCTACAAGTCACAGCCCAAGTCCAGACTGTGGCCAGAGCGGGAGCCCGAGCTCCAGCAGGGAGGACCTGGAGACACCAGCCGAAGCGGGGACAGGGTATCTGGGGCACTGGGCTGGAGCCCTGTGGAGGAAAGCGCCCCATCTCGCTCCGAGGACCCCAGAGATGCCGGCCCAGAGCCTGGGACTTCCAGTGCTGATGAGGGGACTCCCGACAGAGCTGGGGAGCCGGCTAGCACAGCAGGAGAGCAGGTGGGTGATTGCAGTTTCCATCCCACGTGGCCAGGAAGGGGCCCTGCACACGCACACACAGTCCTGTCTGTGGTCTCACACGCAGTGCTGGTGGTTTACCGCAAGGAAGGGAGTCTCAGCCTTCACTCCTACTCAGTAATTGACAAGTTTTAAGCAAGCTGCCTGTTTCTGAAGGAAGCTGTGAGTACAGCTGCGGCCCCAGGTGTGGCCCCAGGCCAGAGCCTCTCCTGCAGCCTCCCTGGAGGTGGGGCATCCCAGAGAGCACCTCCACACACCCAGGCCTCTCCTGGCCTCACCGGCATGTAGCACCCCACGCATTCACCGAAGGAGGCACACCCCTGCTTCGGGGTTAATGTTCTTGCCAAATGATGCTGCGTGCAGGGAGCAGTCTTCCCAGGAGGAGGCCCGGCAGCCCCAGGCCAGCAGGGTTACCTCTGCGGCTCTGTTCCCCAGCCATCGTGCTCAGGGGCTGCAGCGTCTTCTTCTGCTGATGATTTTAAAGGTCAAGAACTGGGGCACCTTAGTGGCACAGTTGGTTGAGCATCTGACTCTTGATCTGAGCTCAGGTCTTGGTCTCAAGGTCGTCAGTTCAGTCTCCGCATTGGGCTTCACGCTGGACGTGATGCCTGCTCCAAGCTGAGCAGGGAGCCTGACGCGGGGCTCGATCTCATGACCCTGGGATCGTGACCTGAGCCGAAATCAGGAGTCGGACGCTTGACCGACTGCACCACCCAGACATCCCAAAACTCTAATTACTTTAAAACAAATGTCTATCCTGAAGAGCCCAGTGCACACACATGTGTCTCCACCTCAGCTCACATGGTCTCCACTGGCCTCCTGGATCCATACTGGCTTGTGCGTAGAGAGGTCCCAGCCACTGAGGCAGGAAAACCTCACACACCCCAGCCCTGGACTGGGCTCACCTTCCCATGCCCAACAGCCTCACAACAGCCCACTTTCCAGATGGGTAAACTGAGGCATGGAGTGGCTGTGCACTGTTGGAGGGTGGGCAGCCACTGAGGGGCAGAGCTGACCTGGAGCCCAGCTACTTAACCACCAGGCTCCCCTGCCCCAGAGGCCTCATGGGGCCAGGGCCCACCCAGAGCCCCCCCACCCCAGGCACAGCCTGTTGGGGATCAGGTCCCCCAGGCCTCTGCTGCAGAGCATGTCCTGGTTTCAAAGCAGGCTGCTCCAACCCCACATGTAGCAGGAGGCTTGGGGACGGCTGGATCATGGGCCTCCAGCCAGGCTTGCTGCACCCCAGGCGTGAGGGGGGTCAAGGTGGAGACAGTGCCTTGGGAACCTTCCCTAAAGCATGCACTTGTATTCCCAAGTGTGATGGCTGTGGTCCTAGCTCTTCCCGTGGCCTTTAAGTGGAGAACTACCTTCCAGCGGAGCGCGTTTTTCTGACTCTGGGAAAGTTCTGTGTGTGGCGGTGAGGGTGAGGTAGAGTAAAATACACATCACATAAAATGAGCCCTCTCCCCCAAGCACCCAGCTCAGCGGCGTCCAGCACATTCACCGTGTTGTGCAGCCAGCCCCACCCTCCAGCCCCACGACTCTCATCCTCCCAGAGACGGAAGCTCGGTCCCCATCCCCTCCCCCGCCCTGGCGTCCACCATCTCGTCTCCGTCTCTGACGGTGCCGGCCCCGGGGACCTCACGAAGGTGGGGCACGCGGTGCTGGTCCTTCCGTGTCTGGCTTCTTTCACTCGGCCTCAGGCCCTCAGGCTCAGCCCAGAGGCGGGTCGCCCGATCATATGGTGATTCTCTGTTGAATTCCTGAGGAGCCTCCATGCTGCTATCCCCACATTTCTGCCAGGTGCACTGGGTTCTGGTTCCTTCCCGCCCCCCCAGCCCGTCGTGGCCACGTGAGGACTTTGCCAGCCCACATCCGCAGGAGTGTGCTGTGCGGGAGGCACATCCCACCCTTATTTGAAGTGGTTCCCGCCCTGTCACCTTCCCAGTGGGCTGGGCTGAGCTGACCCCAGGGACCATTCTCACTAGGATGTGACTTCTGCCTCCAGGGCGTCTCCCTGCAGGAGCTCCTGTACCAGCTGGGCCGGCCCTTCAAGGAGTATGAGCTCTGGGCTCTGTCCCACGCGTGTCTCACTGCTCTGCGCGCTCACAGCGAGCACCCAGGTGATGCTTTGTCCTGAAGTTCCATGTTCAGCCTGCCCCCCCCCACCGTGTGTTCCAGGGCCAGGACCAACAGCCTCACGTGGCCTCCATCAGGCGCATGTGGGCCACGGGGACAGCCTGGGGTCAGGTGGCTGGGTCCCCACTGTGGGCGCCTGTGCCCTGGAGGTGTCTGCTCTGGTCTCAGGACCACAAGGGTCTGGGGGCAGCAGTGAGGGCAGGTGTTTGGAATGTGGGCCTTGAGGCAGACAACCCTGCTGTAGAGTGAAGTGGGAGCTGTGTGGATGGCCCACATCCCCTCAACGGGGATGACATCGTACCCAAGGAGGCAAAAATGGCCGGGGGAGGATGGGATTTTAGATACTGCCCTGGTTTGCAGCTCCCTGGACAGCGTGACAGGCCCACAGCCCCTTGATGTGAGCACGTCCTGGGGAGGACGATGAGGAGACATGCTGCCATCTGACTGCCCCCACATGCCTTTGGGGCGCAGCCTCCTCTGGGACCCCTCAGAGGGGCAGCTCTCGGTGCTGGGCCGTGACCTACATGCCCCTTCCTCTTCCTTCGTCTCCTTTCCATTTCCAGCGTGTTGTGTGTCGCGGAGGGCCCCCCCCCCGCCCTGTCCACCTGGCACCGCGCCAGGGCCTCTGAGAAGGAGAAGGCGCCGACTGGCCCCTGGCCCCTGGGCTTTGCTCCCTGGGGGTCTGTGGGCTGAGGGGAGGGGCTGCCCAACGCTGTAATTCCTGGGAGAAGAGGGTACCCCAGCGAGTCCCCCTGCCCTGACCCTCATCTTCCTTTGCAGCCTACCTGTGCCTGGACTCTGTGCTGGTGGCCGAGGACGGGGCCGTGCTCTTCAGCCCACCCCCTGCCAATGGTGCGTACATGGAGTCACCCTTAGGAGCTGTGCTCCAGCACGGACACCCAAGGCTGAAAAGAGAACTCAGAACTTGGGCTTTTCTCTCTTAGGCACTTACGACACATTTTTTCTGGCTCCTGAGGTTGCAGAGCAAGAACTGCTGACTGAGAAGGTAACTGGCCCTCCCCATCCCTTCCTGCAGCTTCCTGCCCCCACACCCCCAGTGGGGCCCCCGCTTCTGCCCCGAGAGCCTGGGAGTGGGGAGAGGGGCAGAGTACCCTCCAGCAGAGCAGTGGTCACATCCAGGGCCCTGGCTCTCCTGGCCTGGGCAGCAACCCCCTAGCAGGTGCCTCCCCAGGAGGTGGCAGGGGCTTGGCTCTGGTGGTATCATCCCAAGATGGGTGGGACTTCTGCATGGACAGCTCTGGGCACACATGCCGGCTTGGGAGAGTCCAGGGCTAAACTTTCAAGAATATTTACAAGGCACTTGTTAAACACAGCCATTATTAAAAATTAAATTGTCCAAACTTCTGGGGTGCCTAGCTGCCTCAGTCAGAGCGTGCAACTGTTGATCTCAGGGTCCTGAGTTCAAGCCCCACACCGGGCATAGAGCTTACTTTAAAAAATAATAATAAAATAAAATAAAATTGCACGAACTTAAAATTAGGTAAATGATATTCAAAACCGAGGTAGAACTCCACTTCCCTACTTGCCCAACGTACATCTAGAAACCCCACATCCCTAACACAAGAATGAGAAGTCTGAGAGGTAGAGAGCAGAAGGCAGCCTGGCCGGGGCCTCAGGCCGAGGAAGGCACAGTAGCGAGGGCCCTGCTTCCTCCCTCTGCCTCAAAAATGGGGACACAGAAGCCACACTATCAAGCCAGAAGATGTGGTAAGGGAAGCGGTGGGCCCACCCAGGCCAGCAAAGACTCCGCCAGGTGCTGCCAGAGAAGGCTGAGTATCCCCACCAGGATGTAATGAGCACCCCTGCCCATGAGGCCAGTGGGGACCGCGTGGGGAGCCGGGACCCACACCACGCCTCCCCCCGGCAGTAGCAAATGCCCCTCCCAGCCAGGTGTTGTCAGAGGAGGCCTCATGGAGAGCAGCAACCAGGCCACCCCCACCTCCTGCTGGGAACAGAGGCAGGGGAGGAGCAGAAAGGATGCACTCCTACACCCCCAGCCAGAGGCATGTCACAGGAGGCCCAGTGGAGGCCCAGTCTCCCACCCCCTGTCCAGCATGAGGAAGAGCCCCCTCCTCAGATGTCAATTGGAGCCAAATACAGAACTGCATTCTGCCCCCACCTGGCGATAAGGAGACGGCACCCCTCTTCCTGACAGGTTGAACAAGGTCGAGAGTCTGACAACATGGAAATGTCCAGGTCTCAACCAAAAACCACTTGCCATACGAGGAACCAGGAAGATTTCAAACCGAGTGAAAAAAAGACAATCAACAGAGGCCAGTGTTGGCACTGTGGGGCACAGCCAAAGCAGGCCCAAGAGAGAAATTCATAGCACTAGATGCGTATGTGAGAAAAGAGCAATACTTAGATTGCTCAGGTCAGCAATCTAAGCCACTGTCTCAAGAACCTACAAAAAGAAGAGCAACGTGGACCCAAAGCAGAAGGAAGTAATGAAGATGGGAGCAGAAATCAGTAAAAATAGAATAACAATAGAGAAAACCAGTAAAGTCAAGAGCTGGTTCTTGGAAAATACCAATAAAATTTTAAAACTTCCAGCAAAACTGACAAAGGAAGCAAGCAAGAAAGAAAGAAAAAAGAAGAAAAAGAAAAAAAGACACAAATTACCAATATCAGGAATGACACAGGGGATATCCCTATAAACCGTTTAGACATCAAATAATGGATGCCACAGACAACTCTTTAAATTTGACAACTTAGATGAAATGCACCAATTCTTCAGAAAACATGAACTACCACAACTCACCCAATATGAAATAGATCTTTGAATAGCTCTTGACTATTGAGGAAATTGAATTTATAATTTTAAAACTAAAAAACTAAATCTCTTGGTCCAGAGTTTCACTGGAGAGTTCTACTCAATGTTTAAAGAAAAATCAATACCACTTCTACACAATCTTTTACAGAAGACAGAAGAGGAGAGAACACTTCCCAGTCTATTTTATTAAGCCAATATGTATACTGTCAATGTATACTGATAGATAGATGATAGATAGATAGAGGAATATATATACCAACATCCCTCATGAATATAAACACAAAAATCCTTAACAAAATATGCAAATAGAATGCAACAATATATAAAACTATGCACCATGACATAGTGGAAGTTATTCTAAGGATACAAGGCTTGTTTAGTGTTTGAAAATCAATTAGTCCAACATATTAACCAGCTAAAAAAGAAAAACCCCATAATCACATTAATCGATGCAGAAAAACCATTTGGCAAAATTCAACACCCATTCATAATAAAAATTTTTCAGAAAAATACAAATAGAAGAAACTTTCTCAGTTTAATAAAGAGCATCTATGAACACAAACACACACACACACACACACACACACACACACACACACACACACACACACACCCTATAGCTAACATCATACTTAATGAGAAAAGATGATATGCTCTCCCCCAAGATTGGGAACAATGCAAGGGTGTGCACTATCACTACTTCTACTCAACATAGTGCTGGAAGTTCTAGCCACTACAATAATGTAAAAAAAAAAGCAAGTAAAAGGCATAAAGACCAGGAAGAAGAAATAATACTATTTGCAGAAGACATGACTGTCTATGTAGAAAATTCTAAGGAAGCCCCTGGGATTAATAAGTGAGTTCTGAAAGGTCACAGGATATAAGATAAACATTCAAAAATCAACTGTATTTCTGTATGTTAGCAATGAACATGCAGACACCAAAATTTAAAATACAGTGCATTTGCTCTCAGCATTAGCACCATCTTGGAAACCTCCGGGCCATGAACCACATGGTAGAAGAAGCAAACGCACAAGGTGAAGTTGAGGCAAAGGTCCAAGTGAAGCGCTCGCTTATGCATCCATGAAGCCGCAGGAGCAGAAACAAGGAAAGCCAGAGGCCAGGGATGCTGTTACAAATTGTTGGACAGCACACCTACTTTCTAGAATTTTCTCAGTGGATCTAAAACATCCATTGCCATCTGATCACAATGACCACTTTTGAGAGACCCACCTGTTCATACCAAAACAGTCCCTTATGGTCCTTTGTCCTGAACCTGTGACTTTCAGGACTGATTCTGTTCTCAGTTGTGGCTGAATGTAATGTGTACAATAAATCATCTCTTCTGTTGTCTTAGCTAAAGAAAAAATTTAAAAATAAATATAAATTTAATTAAAATATAAAATGTAAACTTAATGAAAATGTACAACGACTCAAAAAAAAATGAAATACTTACATGAAAATCTAACCAAGCATGCACAAGACTTACCTGCTAAAAACTACAAAATGCTGATGAAAGAAATCAAACAAAATCTCTGGGATAAAGGGCCAGGCAAAGAGTTCTTAGACTTGACACCAAAAGCAGCGTCCATAAATTTTTCCACAAAAGGAAAAGTGGGCAAAATGAACTTCATCAAAATTAAAAGCTGACCAAGTGGGATTTTTTCCACATATGGAAGGCTGACTCAACAATGGGAAAGCAATTAATCTAGCACATCACATCAATAGGCTAAAGAAAACAAATAATGTTTATGTCAATAGATGCTAAGCTATTGACAAAATCTGCCTTATATTCAGGATACAAATTCTCAGCAACCTAGGAATGGAGGGGAACTTCCTCAACTTGATAAAGAATATCTACTAAAACCTACAGTTCACATAATTAATGGTGAGAAACTAGATGCTTTCCCTCTAAGACTGGGTAAAACTCGAGAATGTCCCTCTCACCACTCCTGTTCAGCATCGTACTAGAAGTCCTAGCTAATGGAATAAGACAAGAAAAGAAAGGAAAATGTGTACAGATTGAGAAGGAAGAAATAAAACTCTCTCTGTTTACAAGTGACATGATTGTCCATGTCGAAAATCCCAAAGAATCAACAAAAAATCTCCTGGAACTAATAAGCAATTATAGCAAGATTTCAGGATAGCAGGTTAATATGCAAAAGCCAGTTGCTTTACTGTTTACCAGCAGTGCACAATTGGCATTTGGAGTTAAAAATACAATTTACATTCACACCAAAAAAATTACTCATATATAAATCTAACAAAATACATATAAGATCTATAAGGGAAACTACAAAACTCTGATTTAAAAAATCTAAATAAGGGGCACCTGGGCGGCTCAGTCAGTTAAGCAGCTGCCTTCGGCTCAGGTCATGATCCCAGGTCCTGGGATTGAGCCCTGCATCGGGCTCCCTGCTTGGCGGGAAGCCTGCTTCTCCCTCTGCCTGCCACTTCCCCTGCTTGTGCTCTCTCTCTCTTGTCAAATAAATAAATAAAAAATATTTTTAAAAAAATAAATAAAAATAAATAAATAAAAGATCTAAATAATAGAGAGATATTCCATGTTCATGAATAGGATTCAATACTGTTAAGATATCAGTTCTTCCCAATTTGATGTATAGATTAAATGCAATTCCAATCAGAATCCCAGCAAGTTACTCATGGATGTCAGCAATCTGATTTTAAAGTATGTGTGCAAAGACAAAAGACCCAGAGTAGCCGACACAATATTGAACAAGAGAGAAGTCAGAGGACTGACACTGCCCAGTTTTAAAATTTACTGTAAAGCAATAGTAATTGAGACTGTGTTGTCGGCAAAAGACAAATACACAAAACAGAACAGAAAACTCAGAAATAGACCCACACAAATATAGTCAACTGGTTTTAACAAAGGATCAAAGGCAATTCGGTGGAGAAAGGACAGTTTTCAACAAATGGTGCTGGAACAACTGGACGTCCACATGTTAAAAAAAAAACATAACAAAAAGAAACGAATCTTAACAAAGACCTTGCACTTTTCACAAACATTAACTCAAAATGGATCATAGATCTAAATGTAAAATGCAAACCATAAAGCCCCTAGAAGGAATCTGGCAGTAACTTCTGGGCACAACACAAAAGCACGGTCCGGGAAAGAGACAGTCCATGTTAGACTCCATGACAACCTCAGACTTCTGCTCTGCAAAAGATACTTTAAGAGAGTGCAAAGATTGGCCACGGACTGGCAGAAAATATTTTCAAAACACATCTGATAAAGCATCTATATTCCAAATATACAAAGAGTTCCTAAAAGTCAACAATAAAAAAACCAAATTAATTTAAAAACCAACCCAGTTAAAAAGTGGGCAGAAGATCTGCACAGACCCTCACAAAGATGTCATATGGTAAACGAGCATATGAAAGCCGTCTGACATCATGTGGCACTTGGGAATTGCACATTAAAACAAGGAGACACCACTCCCCGCCGATGAGCATGGCTAACACCCCAAACGCTGACCGCACCGGATGCTGGCGAGGACGTGGAGGAACAGGAGCTCCTGGTCACTGCTGGTGGGCACGCAAAAGGGCGCAGCCCTTTTGGCAGTTTCGTCAGAAACTCAACATGTAACTGCCCTGCAGCCCAGAAGCCGCATTCCCAGGCATTCATCCCGGAGAAATGAGACTTACATCTGCACAAAATCCTGCACATGAATGATTACAGCAGCTGCATTCAGAACAGCCCCAGACGGGACACAACCCAGATGTGTGGATGGGTGAACGTGCAGGGGTCCGTCCACACCATGGAATGCTACTGAGCAGTAAAAGGAACAGAGTGTTGATAAGGCAGCAACCTGGGTGCATCTCCATATAATTATGCTCACAGCAAAATGCCAATCCCAAAAGATCACATATTGTATAATTCCATTTATGTGAAATGGCACAACCATGGAAACGGACAACAGATTCGTAGTTGCCAGGGATTAAGAACATGGCTTCGGGCAACCGGACACATCCTGATGACGGAAACGTGCTGTATGGTGATGGTGTCAATCCAGCATCCGGTTGGGATGCCGCCCTACAGTTTTGCAAGATGTTACTGTTGTGGGGAACTGGGTACAGGGCACACGGGATCTCTTTGTATTATTTCTTACAACTATATGTAAATCTATAAATCATCTCAAAATAAAGAGTTAAGTTTTTTTAAAGGTCAGTAAATATCTAGAGCTAATAATTCCCTCATTATGTGACTGTCCTGCACGGTGATCTGTGCTCCTAGCTGGTGGGGCCACTGTCCCCACCCCGTGCGCCCGCACCACCTGGGCAGCTTGGCGTTGGCCCCGTGGGAGCATTCATGCCTCGGAGATCGGCACACGCGGAGACCAGGTTTTGTCAGTTGTGTCGACCTCACAAAGTGATGAGGAAATGTTCACAGTGTGACTGAACGCAGAAGTGTGCCGTGTCTGTGGGACCCACCCGAGACCTTCAGCAGCTGTGGCCAGTGGCGGAGAGCCCACCCGCTCACCACAGCGAAGCTCCAACCAGGCCTTCCACATTCCACTTCCATCTCGCCTATCGCGTCAAATGAAAACACCCACCAGTAGGCGTGTGGCAGCCACCTGTCTGTCGCAGGCGGATTCGGATGCAAGAACTGGGTAAAATCCATGAGCACATCCAGGGAGATCCCTTGGCTCTCCGGAACTTACTAAACAGAAGTGTGACACCTTTCCTTATTTCTAAACTGTGTTGCACCGGGGACATTTAGAATAAACAGATGTGTGCACGTAGAGGCAGGTATTTTTGTTTAGAAGCCTGGGGTCTACCATATAGCAGCACCCCCACTGGTTCGGGGGCCCCTGACCTCAGACCCCCGAGCTGCGGCCTCCACCTGCCCGAGGACCCTGAAAGTGGGAGGGTCCCCGCTGAGGCCTCAAGTCATAGCTGTTCACACTTCAGGGTGAAGACCATGGGTATTTGGTAAACATGCAGGCCCCAGGCCAGGCCCCTGGGAGATCTGACTCGGGGTCTAGCTGGGGCCTCCAAGCTCCAAGGAGGTGTGCGGCGGGGGTCCCCACAGGAGCAGCTGTCCTGCTAGTGCCCGGGGTGCCCCTGGGGGGAGCCCAGGGTAGGGAGGTGCTGCTGAGCAGGGCTGGGCTTTTCTCCACCCAGGCCTCCGTGTACTGTGTGGCCGCAGTCCTGTGGACAGCAGCCAAGTTCAGCGTCCCCCGAGACCACAAGCTGGCCCTGCCACGCAGGCTCAAGACCCTCCTCTTGGACATGGCCAGACGCAGTGCCCAAGAGCGGCCGTGCACAGCTGAGGCCATCAAGGTAACCACACTGCCATTGGGACCCCAGGTCACCGTCCAGGGCCTGGGCGATAGCTGACAGAGTGCCCAGGTTCCTGTTCCCGGAAAAGTGGGCGTTGGACAGGGAGAGCCACGGGTTTCATTTGTGGACAGGTGGTGGACAGTGTCTGCTGCTCACTACCCTGGCCCCTGCCAGACCACCCGGGTGTCCCCAGTGCCTTCGCCCAGCTGGAGTGGGCAGGGGATGTCCTGGGGCCAGCCTGACCCCTGCCCATATGCCCTGCCAGCAGGGAGCAGAGTTCTCCCCAACGACCCAACTTCCCCCACGTCCTCCGAGGGCCCTCTCTCCTCCCCTTCCCTGACCCTCCCAAGAGCTGCACGAGTGTGGGGCGGTCCCGCGATTGGTTCAGTGATCGCGGGAAGGCCACCGCCGGAGGGAGAAGCCCTGTGCGGCCTTCTCTGCCCCGACTGCTCTGTGGCCTCAGGCAGGTTGCTTAACGGCTCTGGGCCTCTCTGGCCTGCTCAGCCAGGTACCGGTGAGCTCTCCCCATCTCACCTTCTCAAGAGAAACTCCGCAGACATTAGCTACAATGCTGAACCAGTTTACTGAGTAGCTACGGACGGATGGACGGACGGCAACGGAAGGAGCTTCACTCCACTCCAGATCTGCACGGAGGCGGCTGGGTGTTTTCAGGGAGAATGAGGGACTGGGGAGGGAAGTGGCCATGTCCTCTGTCCCACGGACACTGGGAGCCTGGGGCCCCATCCTTCCTGAAGATCGAGGTTCAGGGCATCAGGTGTATCCTGGGTCGTAAGAGGCACAGACACCTCAGGGGCAGAGGAAGTTTCACAGTTGTGACCTTTGATAGTAAATGCTCTAAGGCGGGGAGGTCGCAGCCTCTGCCCGGAGTTGGCTGGAGCAAACAGCTTTCCAGACAGGAACCCAAGGGGTCTGGGCCGTCCCTACACTTGGGCCGCGCAGCCTCCGTGCAGAGCTTGGAGGGGGGCATTCTCTGCCGAGAGTTGTTTGTGGTTCTCACCAGCAGTCAGGAAACGGTAGAGGTGTCCATGGGGGGTGGCGGAGCCTTAAATGGTGGCTTAAGGGAAGAATCTTTATCTTCACATTCGGTACATCCATAACCCCAAATGAAAAATAGAAATTCTCATCGGTGACATTCTGTCCCCAAATATCAGAATGTCTGAGCTTGCAGAGGGTCAGTTTGTGGGGGTCAGCTGCATTTTCAGTGTCCACCCCTCACCCCAGAGCCGGCCAGTGAACAGCTCAACTGAGGGCACAGAAGGAACGGCAGACCGTGGGCCTCAAATCTGCCTAACGCCCCAGCACATGGCTCTGGGGCCACATCCACATTCACCCTGCAGGCAGCCACTGCCCTGTTGTCAAGGTCACAAAGGACCCAGGCAGCTGGGTCAAGTTGCAGTTAATCATAATTGTCTACAGAATTGTTCTCTTGCCTGTTTTTTAGGTTGCAGGCTGGGGGGCTGTTGTCTCGTCTGCGCATGGGGGGGCTGAGCGGTTCTGCCCTAATTCTGCTATGGGTCTTAACGTCTCCCTTTCTTGGAGTTCTTAGACGGACCGGCTGGAAAGGTCATGTGTCCTTGTGCCCCTCCTCTCCAGCCTCGGGGCCCCCGCCCCCGGAGCCTGAGGCTCGCCCCTCGCCCCTCCATGCGGGTGGCTGTCAGCGTGGCAGGGGCCTGGGGAGGGGCTGTGGCCATTTCTGTTGGGTCTTTATCCCTTCCACGTGGGGCCTGCTTAGCTCTCCCCAGAGAGGGACGCCTGTGGGGTCCTCCTGTATAGGAAGCCCCCAGGCCCTCCTCCCTGCCACCGAGCACTCTCTGAAGGGCCCCAGCCTGAGGTGCACGCCCCTCCACGTTTGGATGACACAGGGCCGCTGCCCAGCCTGCGGCATCGCAGGGCACTGGACACAGGGCCCATCCTTCTTGCAGATATGCAGCACTTACCTCCTCCAGCGGGGCATGGACAGCAGAAGGATCCTGGCTCACCTGAGGGCATCCACCGGTAAGGTAAGTTGGGGGATTCCGGAGCAGGGGTGAAGACCCCTCCTCCTGCCCTGGGGCCCTGCAGAGATGAGGGTCCCTCCTTGCTTTTTGCTGTTCACTGTCCACGTGCAGTGAGTTTCGGAAAGAGGTGGTAACTTCTCCTTCGCTGTCAGAGGAGCTCCAGCTGGCAGCCCCGCCCTCTGTGGACGGCCTGGCGGTGTGTGGGGCGGGGGCCTATCCCTCAGAGTGACCCCCAGGTAGCCAGCATGGTTTGTAAATGTGCCTGCTGGCCTCCTGAGCATACGGACCCAGGCGGGGCCCTTGGATGGCAGACGCACACACAGTCCCCCCAGCAACCTGTGGGAGTCTGAGTTCTGAGAAGCCCAGGGTCTCCGATGGCGCCATAACCCTCCCAGGCCCTAGAAACCTCCCAAAACCTTGTTGAATTGGGAAGCAGTATGCCCAGAGCCCAGCTGCGTGAGTCACTGTGGGCTGGGGGTGCCACTGAAGGGTCAGGGAGTGTGCCCAGTGTCCAGTCTGCACCTCTGGGACCCTGGTGTCACCTTGACTGGGGCGGTCCGTGTCCTTCTGCCTCAGGTTGACCAGGAGGAAGAGACCATCGGCCTCCAGAATGCTCTCTCGGTGGTTGATCTGAACCCCAGCGCCCCCAGGCCCCGCTCAGGTGGGCCGCCAGGGCCCAGCGTCTCCTGTCCCCCAGCCCCACAGCCGCTCCCACTGCTGACCCCCAGCCCTGAGTGGACACCCACAGGCAGGCACCACTGGGCCCCAGAGCAAGGTGTCCGGAACATCCTGGAGGCCTTGCTGTTCACTCTCCTCCCCTGTTCCAGCCGCCCGGTCATGCTCGTGTCACCAGCCTCCAGGGCGGGTGGTGTGACCCCAGCATCCCTCCACTCTCTTCTCATGCCCACACGCACATCCTGCTGACCGGTTCCTGCCCTGTCTGGGCGGTAACCCCGTCCTGCAGCGGGAAGACGACCCCCTGGTCCTGTCTGTGGCCTCCGTCGCTCCTACCCTCCCCCACCCGGCCCCGCCCTCCCAGCGCCATCACCCTTGCCTCCGGCCCCCTCAGGTCTCTGGAAGGCCCCTTGGAGGCACGTGGCGGGGGCACAGCACCCGATGGGGGGGGAGGAGCCACCACATCTTTGTGGCAGAGGTGGGGGGTGCTCCGGGGGTCTGCAGGGCCGGCCCACACCGCCTGCACTCACGCAGAGTTTATCCCAGGTTTTGTTCGGGTTGGCGGCGACACCAGGCTGGTGGCGGTGCGGGGGCCTGTGCCCTCTCAACCCCCCTGCTGCGGAGGGGCCACGGTGCTGCCAGCCACCTTCACCACCACAGCCACACTCTTCCAGCCCATCGTGCTGGCCGCAGATGCAGGTGACGCCAGGTGAGTGCCCCCGCCCCAGAGCTGGCAGGGTCCCTGAGCCACCCCCGAGCGCTCCCTCCTTCTCTCTGTGCTCTCAGGGACAGGGAGGGCGATGGGAAGCAGGCTCCCGAGGCCCATGGAGCCACCACCAGCCAGAAGGTTCCTGACCAACCAGTACCTGCTGCTGGACCACAGGGAGCAGCTGCAGAACCGCTCAGGGAGTCAGTGCCGAGAGACGCAGCCCAGGGGGTCCCCTGCACCCCACCCCCTGGCCCTGGGGGGGCTTCACCAGCAGTGCCCGAGTCTTCTACAGCTGCCCCACTCCTGAAGGCACAGGCACCTCCCGTGGAGCAAGGGCCAGACCAACCAGCCCCACCTAGAACCCCAGTGTCCAGTGCAGCCCACCACGACCCGAGTCACCCAGCCAAGCCACCCAGGACCAAGGCCACCGAGGGCACAGGCTGGAAGCCTCGGGGTCCCTCATCAGCCCCGTGGGACCCCTCCCTGGCCAAGGCAAGTCCAGACAGCCCCAAAGGCACCTCTGTCCCAGAACAGGATGGCCTGGCCCCAGACAGTCATCCCGAGCGGCCCCTGCCAGCAGACCACAAGCTCTGTCTGCCCGGTGTGGACGCCTCAGCCCTCCCGAAGAGGACAGCCTGCCCGTCGCTGCAGGAGGCCATGCGCCTCATCCAGGAGGAGTTTGCCTTCGACGGCTACTTGGACAACGGACTGGAGGCTCTGATCATGGGTATCATGGGGGGGTGGGCACAGGGTTCCCCAGAGAAGTCCCAGGACCAGGGAGAGGCTGGGGGGACACAGTGCCCTGGGGGAGGATCAGTGTGAAGGGGGCCTGGGGCCCCCACTCATCCATCTGCATGAAGAGCTCGGGGGGCAGGGCTGTGCCCCAGGGGGTCGGCCAGCAGCAGAGCCCCAGGCAGGAAGAGGGTCTCAGGGCCTGGTCCCACTGCCTCGGCTTCCCCCCCACCCCGATCCCCAGCTGTAGAGAGCAGGGAACCCAGAGGGCATGCTCACCCACACAGTGACTGGCCGCTACCATTTTGCAAACCCAGGGGAATATATTTACGCCTTGAAAGACCTCACCTACGCCACTTTCTGTGGGGCCATATCAGAGAAGTTCTGTGACCTCTACTGGGGGGAGAAGTTGCTGCAGAGTCTTTTCAAAGTGGTGAACGGGAGGATGTCCCCCTCTGAGAAGTGAGTCCCCCTTGTCAGGCCCCAGGCTTCCCCCACCCTGGGGTCCCCTGCCAGGCCGGATGGCCCTGGTTCTGCCCCGTCTGGCCCCTGGCTGTGTTCCCTGCACAGCCTCCTGTGTCCCCTGAAGTCCAGCTCCCCACACTGGCCACCCACCCGGGTCCCGCTCACTGGGCCTGAAGCCCAGCCTAACCCACAGCTCTCCCTTTGGGCACTGGGCTCCTTTGGGCAGGAAGAGAGGGCTGTGGGCTCAGAGGACGTGGGAGGCACATCCCCGCTCCCCCGTGGGAGGCACATCCCCTGGAGCCAGCGGTTAGTGCAGGCTCCAAAATAACTACCAGCTTGAGGAGGCAAAGGGACCGGGAGCCCAGAGGGGCGGAGGCCCCCACAGGGAACAGCATCTGCCCCCCACTCAGTCATCCAGGTCGGCGCTGGGTGACAGCTCCCCTCCTAACAGCCGACATGGGGTGATGGCCGCTGGAGGACAGCCGGCTTCCCCCTCCCGGGGGCGGGACTGTGCCTGGACCCCGATGTCTTGACACCAGGCACACCCACAGCCCTGTGTCTGCCTCCAGTGGCCACACCGGCAGGTAGGACAGGGGGTCGCTTAGCAGTTGCCATGGGAGCTATGGGGGCACCTTGCTGTGCTCCCCTCCTGTGCAGACAAGTCAAGAGAGCACCAAGACGAGCACCCCACCCCTCCCACACCCCCGTGTTCTTGTCGCATGGAGAAGGGCCATCCAGGGACCTCCAGAAATGAAGGCCCAGGAAGCCCTGTGCCAATGATTTGGGCCCCTTAATTACTGTGGAAGGACGGTGTTCTGTACCAGCCGGTGGCCTGTGGTCGGGTTGTCCTTGGGAAGCTTGGATGGGGCCTCTGTCAAGTGGTGTGTGTCCGGGGTGCCAGGGCGGGGTCACTGGAGGTCCCCACCGCAGCCTCAGTGGGGCTTCTGCTCATCTGCTGAAAGTTTCCTGTTGGAAGGCAGTAGAGGTGGGGGGGCCGGGGGGCACCTGCAATGTCCTTCCTTCTGACAACAGTGCTTCAGAGGAGGCTGGGTCACAGCCCAAGGGCGGCACGGCCAGCACTCCAAGTGGCTGCTCACTGTCCAGCAAAAGGCCATCACTGCACGGAGCAGGTAAGAGACGTGGACTCTGGGTACAAGAACTCTCCACGGTGGGGCCCATGTTGACCCTCTTACAAGAGAGGCTCCCCTCTGCCCCTGGGGCCCCCCAGTGCCCCTCAGAGACCCCAGAGTAGGGTTTGTGCTCCCCTGGGGGCTCTGTGCTGTGAACAGGGTTCTCCCAGGCCAGCAGGCGGGCGGCGAGTAGGAGCCCAGTGGGCTGGGGGCTGGGAGGGCGCTTCTGCTTCCTGGAATCACTGGCCAACAGCTTGGTGATAGGGGACTCTTTGCATCCTTCCTAGAAACATGTGCCATTTAAGGACTCTGAGCCTTATTTTCCTCGAATGTTACTGCAGGCTCCAAAATAACTGAAGTCTTTGTAGTTTCACAGAATTCCGTCTGAATGGGACATGGCTTTAGGAATCAGGCTGCATGACTATGATCACACATAATGGCCATTGGAGCAGGTGGACAGGCACCCTCCTCCCACCCTTTCCACCACGTGCACGCCCCAGGAAGTTTAGGAGCAAAGTGACTGTGCCCAGTGAGCCCCTCTGCCCCTCGGTCCAGCCTCGTTTGTGCTCCTGTCTGCACAAGCAGGTCACAAGCCCTGGGGTCTCCTCCCTGGACTCAGGCCCCACGGGACAGCCTGTGTTTGGGAGGGGATCTGAGGGACCCTCCCGGGACGCAGGACCACCGCCCTGAACTCTGTTGGGCCCCTAGAGAAGCAGGGGGCACCCGGCCGTCTCGAGGGGCCTCGCGTCCCCAACTCAGCACGAGCAGCCTCTCCGTAAACAATTAGTGATGGACTCTGCCACACGAACTAGAGTTCCGAGCGAAATCCTCCTCCTCTGTGCAGGGAAGGAGAAACTGACCACCGCGCGGGTCAGCCGAGCCCCCTGCCCGTCCCCGGCGCTGTCCGATGTGGACGCGGACGAACTCTCACGGGGTAACTTTGAGGTGGGATTCCGGCCTCAGAAGTCAGTCAGAGGCGAGCGGGAACAGCAGCAGGAGGCCGGAGAGCACGGGCAGCAGGGAGGGGGCCCGGGGCCCGAGGCGGTGGCCCAGCTGGCCAGGCCCAAGAAGGGGGCCCCGGCTGTGCACTCGGGCCCAGCCGAGCTCCAGAGCTGCAGTCCTGGCTGGTGCAGCGCCTTCTACGAGGCAGACTGCTTCGGTGCCGACGTCTCCAGCTACGTGAAGGAGCTGGTGAGGCAGAGAGCCGGCAGGGCCACAGACACGGACGCCCAGAGCCCGGTGAGTCCTGGGCCGCTGCCCACTGCTGGCCGTGTCGGGGAAGAGGGTGCCATGGCCGCAGAGGCGCCCTGGGCGGCAAGTCCCACATCGCAACAGGAGCTCCCAGTCACTCAGGCAGTGCGGGGGTGCGTCCAGAGCCCCTCCCTGCGTCCCACGTCTGGGCCCCCACCCACCACCAGTGACCCCCGCGCCCGTCTGGGCACCCTCCATGGGAGTACTGTGCTCATCTGCGTGTGTCCTCCACATTTCGGGAAGGACATGGCCTTTCTCTCTGTTAGCTGGGCACATGGGCGCCAGGTGACTGTTGGCCTCAGGCCGTGTCTCGGGGCTGGGCAGGCAGGTGGAGCCCCCTCCTCCCAGGCAGCCTCCTGTTCCTCGTGCCTTGCCCGCGGCGGTGCGTTTTCTGGCCTGACCCCGGGGTCATCTGGCCTGGGCTTCTCTGGTGGTCAGCGTCCCTCCAGCTAGGGCAGCCTACGCTTCTTCCTGTTCAGCAGGGCGAAAGGAGCCCACAAACTTGAGGGTGGCCAGGCCAGGCAGCCCCTGGGTGAGGGCACCCCACAGAGCTCTGGACCCATGGTCGCTGCCCCTGCCATTGAGCCCCTGCCCCCCATACCCAGCGGCTCTGACCTGGGCTGCAGCCTTCCCCTGTGACCAGGAGCCCCCACTTGGGCCTCGGCGCACAAGGCCTGACCCTCCAGGACAAGTCGGGAAAGACTCCATCAGTGCTTAAGCACTTCTCCTGATGAGTCTACCTGCCCGGCATGACACTTCCTCTGGCCTCCAAGGAGAAGCCACAGGACTGCAGCATCTCCCCAGCCCTGACAGCACCGTCCGAACCTTCCCCCAGGGACCTCCCTTGTTCACTTCCTGCTACTGCCTGAACTTGGCGTCCCTGCTCAGTCCCAAGCTGGAAAAAGAGCAGGGCCTTGCCCCCGGCCTGCACATGTGAGGATGGGGGCCATGCCCTGGGGACCCACCCTGCCCCTCCTGGCTTCATGCTGTGATCCCCTGCATGTGCCATCATGGGCACCAAACTACGGGGCCTGGCAGGGACCTCCGGTGGGGCCCTGGCACAGAGGGGAGCCCCCATGTAGGCTGTCAGGGCAGGGAGCACAGAGCTCAGACCACAGGGCAGCTCCATGCCACTGCATCAGAGTCCGGGGCTCCCAGCCCCTGACCGGCTCCTTCCTTCCGGGGGGGCCGGGGGCCTGCGGACCTCGCCCCCACTTCCTTTCCTGTAACGTGTATTTGCACACGATGAAGCTTACTCGGAGCTGCTAGATGTTCTCGCCCCAGCAGCTTTCTACCTGTGATGGCCTCTCCCAGCAGTGGAAAGTGAATAGCCTAAAAGAGGCAGAAAGCCACATCACACTCCCCATCGTGGGACCAGCGATGGGGCCGCAGCTCATGACAGCCCACCACACGCACGGGCCTCGTAAGCAGGAGTGGAACAGGTCCTCCACACCCTGGGCTGTCCTGGTGTTGGAGGGTCCTGAGGATCCTAACGTTCGTCACTGAGAAGGGCCCGTGGACAGTGAGTGCCATGACGCGGTTTCTGAGGGGGCAGTGAGGAACTAAAATGCTTCCCTGAAATACGCACCGCGCGTTTCCTAGTTGTGTAGGCTGAGGGCCTGGAAGCAGAGACGGCCCGTGCCAGGGTCCGGGTTCCAGGGCCATCCTCCAGTCAGAGGGACCAGGGCTCCTGGGAGAAATCACGGACCCCGGGACTGGGGCAAAACCGGTGACAATGAGCTGGGGCCATCTTGGACCAGAAAGTGAGGAAATGATTAAGAACCCATGATGGGGGCATGTCGAAGTTCAGAGGAGCCGGCTGAAGGGCCCCCAGCAGCCAGAGCAGTTTGAGAAGCGAAAGAAATAACACAGAACAGTGTTCTAACTCAGAGTGTGAAACATCCGCACGTCCACACTCGTACAGATCCTGGAGCTGAAAAGAGCAATGACCCAATGACGGCTTTCAACCAAGTAGAAAAACTCATCCTAAAATTCATACAGACTCTCAAGGGACCTCAACTAGCCAAACAATCATGAAAAAGAAGAACAGAAGTGGGCAACTCACACTTCTGATTTCAAAACCTGCTACAGAGCTGCCATTGTCAACAGTGTGGTCCTGGCATGAGGACAGATGTACAGAACAGGGCGGATAGGAGAGCCCGGAAATAAGCCCATAGTGAGATGATTTTTGGGAAACCGTCTGACCGGCCAGTGGGCCAAGGACAGTCTGCTGGGAAAACAGGGTGTCCCCCTGTGAAAAGATAAAGTTGGTCCTGTACCGCATGCCACTTCCAGAAATTAACTGAAATATCAGAGACCTAAACGTTAGAGCTAAGATTATAAAACTCATAGAAGAAAATGGGAGAAGCTTCATAACCCTGGACGTGGAAGTGATTTCTTGGATATAACACCAAAAGCACAGGCAACAAAAGTAAAAATAGAAAAATTGTGCTCGGGGCACCTGGGTGGCTCAGTCGTTAAGCTTCTGCCTTTGGTTCAGGTCATGATCTCAGGGTCCTGGGATCGAGCCCCACATCAGGCTCCCTGCTCCGTGGGGAGCCTGCTTCTCCCTCTCCCACTCCCCCTGCTTGTGTTCCCTCTCTCGCTGTGTCTCTCTGTCAAATAAATAAATAAATAAGTTCTTTAAAAAAAAGAAAAGAAAAGAAAAATTGTACTCAATCAAAATGCAGACCTTTTGTGCATCAAAGGACGCCGTCAACAGAGGGGAAAGGCAAGCCACAGAATGGCAGAAAACATTTGCAAATCATATATCTGAGAAAGGTTTAATTTCCAGAATGTATAGGGAACACAACAGCAACAACCCAAAAAGCCAGCTGAACAAGGAATGATGGACTTACATAGATGTCTCTCCAAAGAAGATACACAAATAGCCAAAAGCTCATGAATAGATGCTCAACATCACTGGTCATTAGGGAAAAGCAAACCAAACCCACAGTGAGAGACCACCTCACACATGGTAGGATGTCTCTTACCAAAATTTTAAAAAGAAGAAAGAAAATATCATGTTGGGAGGATGTGGAGAAACTGGAACCCTCGTGCATGGCTGGTGGAAATGTAAAATGGCGCAGCCACTCTGGAGTTTCCTCCAAAAATTAAGCCTAGATTTACCATGTAAGTCAGCAAGTCCACCTCTGGGTGTCCACCCCAAAGAGCTGGGAGGAGGTCGTCCGAGAGCTGGTTCACAGCAGCCCAAGTGCCCATCAACAGATGGATGGATGGAGATGGAGAGTATGCATACGGTGGGACAGGCTGGCCCCTGCCATGTCACAGAGGAGCCCCGAGGGCCTGACGCTGAGTGAAAGCCAGACACTGAAAGACCAGGACTGTGTACCCCACCTCCATGAGGTCCCTGGAGTCACCGCGTTCACAGAGACCACACGGGGGCAGGGGATGGCGGCTGATCGGGACAGAGCTTCCCTCCTGTAAGATGGACACGGAGGGTGGGGATGGTTGTACAACGGGCTGAGTGTGCTTCATGCCACTGAACAGCACGATGAGAAATGGTTAGAATGGTAAATTTTATGTATATTTTGTCACAAAAATTTTTTCAAAATAAAAATGTAAAAACTAGTTGAGAGCGGGGCACCTGGGAGCGCCGTCAGTTGAGCGTCCGACTCTCGGTTTCAGCTCAGGTGGTGATCTCAGGGTCGTGAGACCGAGCCCCACGTCGGGCTCCGCGCTCAGCAGGGAATCTGCTTGGGACTCCCTGTCCCTCTGCTTCTCCCCACTGTGCGCGCATGTTCTCTCTCTCAAATAAATAAACAAATCTTTTAGAAAAATAGTTGAAAACAAAACAAAGGAGAGGATGACCCTTGGCCTTGGGAACTTGAACCAATGCTTACAGAGGTCATTCTAGTTGAATCCACGTGAACGGAGAAGAGACGGAGGCAGCATCCCCTCGGAGCTTCCTTTGCCCTCAATCCGTGCGCACCGCCCCGCCAGCATGCTGTTACTCTAACCGCCAGCTGGACCAGGAGACAGGAGCCCCGCTGACCTGGGAGCAGGGAGGCTGGGGGCGCCCACGCCCCAGTAACAGAGGACGTGGCCCTTTCAGAGGCAGAGCTCACTGTGTCCACACCGACTTCCCCAACAGCTTAATCCGAGAGTTGTGGGGAAGGGGGGTTGGTAAGAGTCCAGGTGTGTCCTCCAATGTCATAGGTCGTCCCCTGACATCACAGGTCGCGCCTGCTGACTATAGTCACATCCTTAGGATGGACGGCTGTGGACAGACTGCCCTGTTGCCAGCCCCTTGTGTTCAGCAGAGGGCGGCTCTTGTGCGTGTGAGAGCCTGCTGTAGGCTGACGGGCCCTTAGTCCTGTGCTCTCCTCGGTGGCGGCCCCTTGCGGGAAGATGCTCCCACTGGTGCGCCCGGGTCACCCCTGCACCATACTCAGATTGTTCTTGAAAGTGGGCCCAGAGGCCAGCTCAGACCAGAAGCGTGCCGGCGGCCAGTGGCTGCCCTGGTGTGGACCATGACCCTGCGGTTGGGACGGGGTGCCCTGGGCCTCCCATCTCTGAAACAGGCTCGGTCCCACAGTGACTCTGCGGTCACTCTGCGGGGGGCACAGTCGGGAGGAGGCAGGCGGTTTGAGGGACGCTGTGGAGTGACCCGGAGTGACCCTGTTTCCCTTTTGTTCCTGCTCACCTGGGGAAGACGTCCCTCCTGGAACCGGAATGCAGACAGGTGAGTTTCCTGCGCCCTCGCCTGCATGGGGGGGCGTGCGGCTGGACGAGGGCGCCGTAGTTTCGCGTTCCTCTTTGAGAACCCGCCGCGTCCATTTCGGGCAAACTCGAAAGGTGTAAAACAACTATTGGTCACACTTTCACACTCACTACCCAAACCGAGCGGGTGTGAGGCAGGCCCAGGCGCTGGGGTGGGCAGGGCGGCTGGGGGGCACCGGGTTCCCTCCATTGGTCACCGAGCGCGCGCCCACGTGCCCCGCGCACCCGCCGTGAGTGTGCGCTGGGTGCCCGCGTCTCCTCGTGCCGCACCCCAGGCGCCCGGGCTGTGAAGCTGCCCCGAGGGGTTTGGTTGCCCTTCACCGGCTGTTAAGACAGGCTTTGCTTTCAGTATTTAGGTGAGTGGTGCTGATTTTGGCTCCCCCGTCTTTTCTGTCTTTGTCTGTAAGTTCTGGCTTTCCTGCTTCCTTCCGACTGTGGTCCTCTTTGACCCCAGCACTGGCCAGCTTTCAGGCCCGTGTCGACGGAGAGGGCCATGTGTGGTTGTGCCTCAGATCATCCACATTTACTTCTCTCCCAATTCTATGGGGGAAGTCCTTCGTTGGGTTAGGCCAGGGGAAGCACCTCAACGCAAAGGACCCTAAGGATTTTATTTAGACCTCGCCAGTCCGAGTCAGCTGTGGTTGGCTTTGCTGTGCTTCTGCCAAGTATGGTCGTTGTGAAGCCCTGCTCGTGTGTGTCTTCTCCATTACCCCATCTTGTGTGGAGTTTAGTTCCCATAGATTTAGTTTTAAAATCAGAACAGTCCTGGAGTCTGCGTGAGCCCTCCTTTCCGGCAGGGAGCAGGTGTGTCCCACGGGCCCTCTCTGGGGGGAGGGGTCTGGATCAGCATCTGGACAGTGTGCGAGGGGGCGACGGGGCTGGACAGAGCCTTGTGCAGGGTGGCCTCAGAGAGTGCCCTCTCCCTGGCGGTCCTGAGCTGCACAAAAGGAGAGCCCTGGAACGCAGCGCTCGGGGCCGTCCTTCCCCTCTTCAGGCTTTGGGGGATGTCAGCCAGGGTCATGGCGTCTTCAGAGAGCCAGGATTAGGGGCGCCTGGTGGCTCCATCGGTTAAGCGGCTGCCTTTGGCTCAGGTCATGATCTCAGGGTCCTGGGATGGAGCCCGGTGTCCAGCTCTCCGCTCAGTGGGGAGTCGGCTTCTCCCTCTCTCTCAAATAAATAAATAAAATCTAAAGAAAAAAAGGAAGGGAGGGAGGGAGGGCCACAGAGAAGCATGCGTGGATGGGACTGCAGAGACCCTCAGCCTTGCTCGAACCAGACCTCCAGAGGGCGGGGATGAGTCCATCTGTGAGCACAGCTCTGCGGGGTCACCTATGTGTGCTGGGGTCAGGGTTTGTGCCCTCCCACAGGACTGTCCTCCGTGATGACACATTCCAGATCCGTGCCACACCCGGGTAGCCACCAGCCATGTGTGGTTGAGCACTCGAGGTGTGGCCTACAAGACAGAGGAATTGACATTTTCATGTCCTTTTAATACTGCAGCCGCCACACACGGCCAGTGGCTCCCACGTCGGAGGCGCGTGTAGGTCCTGCACACACAGTTCTGCCCCACACGCCCTGGGCGCTTATTCTGTCCCCCACCCTGACGACCAGCGACTGGGTCCTCGGGCCGACAAGCCGGGAAGGCAGGTTTGGAGCCAGGGTGTGCAACGTCAGATCCTCACTCCCCTCACACACAGTCCCAGCCAAAAGATGTCTCAGCAGCTTTGGGGCAACACGAGCTGTGCTCAGCAGGCTTCCTCCCCAGACGTCTGCCTCACGTGGGGATCTCGCTGTGCTCAAAATCAGCATTCTCCACGCCTGTTTCCACGGAGAGAGACTGCCTGCCGTCCCAGTGTGTGACACCCCCACCCTCTGCAGCTTGCACGTGACCCAGCTGGAGAAGGACTTGGAGGCCTTGGGGGACCTGATTCAACAACAGAGACGTGGGAGAGGAAGGTGGTTCTGTGTTCGGTCTGCACCACGTCCCCCAAAACTGGCACAGCCCCTGCTCCACAGCTGCCCCAGGCCTGAGGTTCCTACCACCTGGCGTGGCCATCTGCTACCCCGCTGTTAAAACAGAGGCATGAGGGGCGCCTGGGTGGCTCAGTTGGTTAAGCGACTGCCTTTGGCTCAGGTCATGATCCTGGGGTCCTGGGATCGAGCCCCACATAGAGTCCCGCATCGGGCTCCCTGCTTGGGGGGGAGTCTGCTTCTCCCTCTGACCCTCCCCCTCTCATGCTCTCCCTCTCTCTCATTCTCTCTCAAATAAATAAATAAAATCTTTAAAAAATAAATAAAATAAAACAGAGGCATGAGGAAGAAGACAGCCACATGAACCACCTTTTCAGTAAAACCATCAGATAGAAGAGATTCCAATATTTAAATAAAAACACCACCTGCATTTTTAATTTCACAAAATTGTACAGAAATAAGTGCTACCAACAAAGCAAAGTCCCTTGTTGTAGTTAGAGGAGATCAGGGGAAAGCTTGTTTGGGTTTGAGCTGATTAGAAGTGCCCAAACGAAGACTGGAGTGTGTTTGGCTTTCAGATTAAGGCTCCTATCAGCGTGGCCATTTCAGGGCCCTGGGGCCACCTTGAGCCCTGCTACCAGGAAGTCATTTCCCTGGGAGTCTGAGAGGTCCCCGGGCCTCTGCCTCTTCCTCTGGCCCCTGGCCCTAGCCAGGTCCCTCACTGTGCCCACCCCACACCTACCCTCCTCCCCCAGGGACAGGCAACCTCACAGCCCCAGCTGAAGACCCGCAGGAGCTCCAGGCCCCCTCCCAGGGACCCAGCAGGCTTCCAGCGCCCTCACCGCTCCAGACTCACAGCCCTCCTCAGCCCTGGACCCTGCAGGGTTGGGGGCAGTAAGCCAGGCTGCATCTGTCTGCTCCTTCCGTCAAGGGAGGAGCCATGTCTGGGTTCTGGCATTTCTAACACTGGCTGCCCTGAGCCTGCCCTCCAGCCTCGAGGGTTTCCTGGTCCCTCTGGGTGAGAGAAGAGCCCAGACCCACCTCACTGGAGGACAGAGCTGGGGGAACTTCCCCCCACCCCAAGCAAGCTTGTGGACCCTCCTGGGAGATGCACATTCTCCAGGAGGGAGCTGGGGCCCCTGCTGCTGGGCACCCTCGCAGACTGTGACGCCAAGGAAGCCCCGCTGGCACCGCGGCTCTCTGGACTGCCCGCGAGCAGCAGGGGCCACGCGTCCTGGCCGCTGTCCCCGCGCAGCACCGCCAAGGGGCCCCGGTGGGAACGGGGGCTAGCCAGCCTGAGTCTGGGGCAGGGACTCCGCGCGGGGATCCCTCGGCGGGGGGCGGCCACGCAAGCCAGGCAGACGGGCAGCCGGGCAGCCGGGCAGCGGGCCTCACGTGGGATCCCCACCCTCGGGGGCCCAGGTGAGGGGACGCGGCGTCCCCGGCGGTCGTGTGGGGGTCCTGCAGGGGCCTCGAGGGGCAGCTAGGGCCTTCGGCTGGGCGGGGGGCCAGAGGGGGCCAGGGAGGCCAGAGGCGCGGGCCAGCCCCCCGTCCCCCCAACCAGGCAGAAGCGGTCCTGGACACCTCTCCAGAAGGGCAGCTCCTCGGTGGGCCAGGGCGGGGCCCAAGCCGCGGCCCCTGAACCCCAACCCCCTCCTCGTGCGGGGCCCTGGCTTTCCTGGGCTGGGGGACGGTCAAGAAGCCGGGACAGGCCACTAGCTGCCTCAACGGTTTTCTGCCCTCATTGTTTTAAGTGGCTCAATGGGATCTACTTTGCAAATACCAATTTACTGAGATATTATCTTTGCCCCCAGTTCTGTTGACCTTCATAATAAAACAGTTACTTTACCAGAAAAACAGTTTATTCAGGAAAGCGGAGAATTGCAACATACAAAAGCAAACTAGGGCAAAAACCACAGGCGAGACCTGGGAGTAAAGAGGAGGCTCTTTTATAGGGGGTAGTTGGGGCGCCTGTTGTAAACTAAAAGTCCATTGGAGTAAACTGGGGGCTGCATTGGCTGGGCCCTGAGCGTCTCTCATTGGCTGGGCCCTGAGCGTC